CAACTAGGCATCAATGCGTGGAGAGACGAAGTACACTCGACCGCGCTTGTCCATCGTGACGTGACGCTTCTAAGCAGGCGACCACGGAGATATTGTGTTAGGCTCAGTTCGTATTGATGCTGGGAACTAGGATAGACCATCATTGGTGAATGAGCAATCAACCTCAGGGTCGTCAGGGAACAAAAATGGTTCGCCGTGTGTAGCGCAGCTTCAAACTTCAATAGCATATTCAGTCAACAGAAGAGGATTGATGCATCGCCCTGAACCAAGTCAGAAGTAGCAGGCAAGGGTTTGAGTTGCGTGAGTTCACTTTCGCCCCCTAGGCGCTACTATTGAGGATGGACATGGTGCAGCTTAATGGTGTGCGGGACCTCGATTTCAGCGACATAAAATTACTGGACGTGACAAGGATGTATTTGAGTTTGTGTCGACAAATCTCTTCGTAATCCTAGGCACGACAGGCATCATATCCACAGGTTTATGGCGACTGGTTTACCTTCTTGAGCTGGATTTACTTCTGGGTAGGGTAAATGATGTTACTGAGATATTGAAGTGTATGGAAGATTCTGAGGACAGAAAACATCTCAAGTAACAATGGTGGAAGTTAAGGGTCGCCGCAGTTTTAGTATTTCACCTGTGTTTTTGCTACCGGAGTATTTTAACCGTTTGGTGACTTGGATTATGTCAGATAACGTGAATTCGACAGTGCTTTTTGGTGTCAATGTGGCTGAAGAGTAGTTTTTTATGATGAAGAGTTATGGGTTCTGGCTAATCAACTGTGGACAAGTCTTTGAGTATTTCGCACCAGCCCATTGGGTTGTTATAAGCTTCTTTGTAGTAAGAGAATGAAGGTCATGCCCTATGCAGCTCGACCACCTCCCAAGAAGTGTCAACAGAAATTATTTTCTTCACTAGGCGGCTGGTGCACTACTCTGTTCACTCTCCATTCTTATTTCCTGGCCGTTCCGCACACTTGGCGGAAGTGCGCCCCAGACATGGTGTCAGTGGCATCTCATCAAAACTTTGGGTAACTTTCTACGAGCACTGAGAGGTAAAAATTGTTGGTCGGCACAATGCATTTCTTGAAAACTTTCGACGAAGAAACTGTATCCAGATAAGTATCAGAGTTACAGTGAAATATATTTCAGGTTGGCATTGGTGAAGTATAATCCAAGACCAACATACCTCATCAGTCCGCCTCGTCATGATCTCCGTATCTTAGTCGCCGTGATGTGGAGGTATCAGCTGATGCGCTAACCGAAGTAAATGCTTGTGGTCACATCCTGCAAAATTGGAGTCTGCACATGTCAAATGAGGAATTATGTCGCGGAAGAAGATTACTTCAAATACGCTGATATCTCTTGCGGGGATCAGTAAAAATTTGTTGCTAGCCAAAAAACACCCGGTGAACTTAAATAATTTTTATACCTAGCTGGACCAGTGAGTCCCGTTTGATTTCAGGCAAGTGAGCGTCACTGCATATTATCTTGTGATCATATGGAAGAGAGGATGCGTGGTCCAGGGCTACGACCAGTGAGATCCCATGATTACTAATGGTACCGTGTGCCCCGTAGATGCATCCAGCCAGTACCATACGTAAGGCAACTTTTCCCCTTCCCGTCTGTCCGGCAACATTGATAGTGTATGCACACGATAACGCTTATCTCTTCTTCCGACACACCTATGTGACAATTAGACTCGATGATAATTTTTAAATAGGTGTGCGGTTTCTCTTTATACCGACGGTTTGCTAAGGACAGACCCTACATTCATGAGAAGAATGAAAAAGTGAGAGGAGCAGTGATTTATGAAGGTTTCGGGTTTGCTAGAACAAGCTGGAAGGTGACTCATCACCGCTTGATTGAGCACAGGTCTGTTACGCTGTCCCACAACGTATCTGCATCCTAACCCCTTGCAACCGTGAAGTCAATAAAATGTTCTAGTGGTAGGTCAACCGCAGTGATCTAGAAAAGCATCGGTTTTACTGGTGGAAGTCGGAGTGTCTTCGTTTAGGGCGTTCAGCTTTTGCGTTGTATCCACTGGCATAGAGTCTGACTTGATGCAGGCTTAGTATACACTCCTTGCATCTCCTTCACAGACAGCAGGGAGTTTTGGTTTAGCAAGTGACGGATATGTGGGGCTGGCGGCAGTGGTTCTTTCGTCGACGCCACTTCCATAGTTATCGTCTGACAGTTGCGTGTATGGCTGGCCGCATCTTTTCTGTTACTTCATGGGAGGTAAATTCGGAGGCTCAACGTGAATATCCTAACTGTCCTTGTCAGTTGTCCGGCTGACACCACAGCAGACGGTGGTGTGACGTATAAAACTGTCCTTGCGGCCGTCTTGTAACCAGTGTGACGACAAACAGAGGGGCGTTTCTTAGCGAACTGGTACCATGCAGTCGTTCGTAGTTCCTTTTCACACCGCGCCCTGGTGATTCCATGTTATAGGTGGTGTAATACTGGGACCCCGTGTTGGTGAACGCTAGAGTCGTGTTATTGCAGAGTATAGAATCACTCTGGGTGAGACGCCCGAAGCTCAACCTAACCTTTCTTTTACGTCTTTTATTTGGAAGCTCTAAAACGAAATGTGCTATCACTTTTAAACCAACACCGGCATATAATCTGCTTAATAGTGAGTACACCATCCCGATAAATAAGTAGCGCTCAAAACTTCAATGTAGGTTTTTCACAACGCAATACAGTATGCTGTGGAACAAACTCCCCTCCCCTATGTGAGAATGTCGACCTCTCGGCCAGTTTCAAAGATTACTTAGTGAATTCCTCCTATCTAACGATTCTCATCAATTAGTTGGCGGCCGAACCACGAGCGGTAATACCATGTACAATGGTGCTACTAGTAAGTGGACTCAAGGGAGATGAACACCAATGATATAAGTGTACAATGCCGAAAACTGAAAGCATTAGTTAAGTTAAAATGTAATTTCCAAAAAAGAAAACTGGCCAAGAGTGAACAGGAAGCGGAGTGCGTTACGATTAACAATGGTGGACTCCGCAGCTGCTCTAATGTAACTTGCATTTCTTCATAACCTAACTGATCTCATGACTTAACACCTATTTCTTAAAATTCTTCCCTTAAAATTACCTCTTTACTCCTGACTGGTAAATGAACTGTTTGTCGGTGGATTTTCATAGCATGTAACATGTTTTATTATCTACTGTTTGTTATCAGTACTTACATGTAAGTACTCTGCACCACCTACTGTTTCGGTAGCCCCAATATGGTAATACTCAACAGGAAACACCATGATCATCCCCCCAGTGACCAGATGAAGGGTGGTTACCGTCCTAGAAAAGGCCACGAACTTCATCTAGATGTTTATAACTTCATCCAACATTTGTGCATGGGCATATAACAAGTGAATACCTGGTCAAAAATTCTCTAATCCCTCTATTTCGTAGCAACATCTTCGGCTTCAGGCCAATTTACCTCACTGACGTGCGCACCTTCATCTTCTTCCACCTAAGCTTACCTCAAAACGGTTGGTTTCGGATACTTCTTCAAGTAAGTTTTGCGGTCAGTACAAAGAACCCACCCAGGTGTATCATGGTTGATCTACTTCGGCGTACTTTTGTGCTCCTGTCTCCAATTTCTCCTGCTGCTCGCTTTGTTATTCACTCTTCAGGTTCACCTAACCAGTCCTGCATTCAAACGGAATCCTGGAAATCGCACTTGTCAGTGTGTACCGTGCCATCAAAACCTTATGACCAACGCAAACACCCAAGGTCATGACTGTACTGCCTGCTCCACCTCCAAGACTATTGAAAGATTTAAACAATAACCGAATAATTCCTAATTTCGAAATGAGCCTGCTTCAACACGCCTCTTGCATGCCATGAATGACCGTATCCAATGTATAGCTTAACACCGTACATAATAGTCATTTCTCATTACCATAATGATCAGACCTGTAAACTGGCTTGTATTCACGTTACCCATGTTGTATGAAATTTATTATTATTGTATTTCTCCTCATGCAGCCGGCGAGTTTTGGCTCAAGATGCTGAAATTTATTGGCAGATCCTCTGTTCGTGAACAGTCAGACATGCGCACTTGCCCCACTTTTAGACTGGTTATAAGTACCACCGGAGGTTATTGAGTTTTCGTCTCATTCGCTCTTGCCGTTTGGGCTCCACTGATCCGTCTGTTTGTTGATTGTATACTTCATAGCCGCTATTTTACATAGTTAGCCAGTATCGGTTGTGGATTTAAAGTCTGTGTGGGGCCCCAGTGAAAGTTTTGTGACTTTTTGTGAAGTGTGCCTAAATAGCGTTAATCTTAGAGCCTTAGATTTCATGCAGTCTACTTGATTGGGAGCAGAAATGATGACAATTGGCTCCACGTGATCTGATCAAAATTTGGCCTCATTTCATTACAATGGTCATATGATTGAACGCTGCCGCTTCAATTCTGAGAGCTGTAAGGTCGTTCCAAGTATTGGCCGCTCTGAATGTAATTGAAGAGTAGTTATATTCAAAATTTATTTGTCTGAGTTTTGATAGAGTTTGAATCACCATGGATCACGCTGAAAGTGCTGTTGGATTTGCTCCTACTTAAAGTGATTCTACACCTTAAAGAAACACAGTCAAATTGTCACTTAAAGTATCCAGTTGACTTCGCATCTTCAGCATCCTCACCTATCAGGACCGTGTAGCCTGATTAACTTCTTTGGACTGTAAACTGTTTTTTGAGCACCATACAGTTTCAAGTTTCTCGAAAAATTGACAGTAACGCCTAGGCCTGGTCTTTGTTATTAGTTATCAAAAGGCGTTTCTAAAAACGGATATCTAACGTGAACTGTATTTGGTAACATTATTGTCTACATCTGGTCATAATAGGCTGACTAAAAGAAAAATAAAATCTGGTTGAATTACTAGATAAGGTGTAATAATTATATCGATGAATGGTACTCTTATTTCGTTTCACAGACGATAAGACATTGCACGAATTTCTTCCTCTGCAAACTGTATGCTCACGTGGTTGTCTTTAGTTTAGATGCATGTGCACTACGGACTCACTGACAGGAGTAAACTGACCTCAATAAGATGAGTTTAGTAATCATTCACATTCATTAAAGTTGATTATCTAACTGAAATAAATTTTTAAATTATTTTTATTGAGTGAACAGTCTTTCCTCATCTTTCTTATACAGACACTTTCTGATTGCTCTTCTGTTATCCGTTACAGATCGTGTGTATCTGTTTTTTCACCAAGTGAAAAGTTGTCCCTAAACAGCACTCAGTCGTTAGTTGAAGTCATGCCTATTCGTAAGGAAACAACTCGACATCACCTTAGGGAAATAACACACAAGGAAAGGATTGAGAAAGCGAAAGAACGTCGAATCAAACGCAAACAACGAAAAGAAAGTGGTGCACCTGCAGGAATTCCACAAACTCTCGAGTCACTTAGAACAGCTGATGAGACTATTGTTCCAAAAGAGGACGATGAAGTGATCATTGAACATGAAACAGTAAGTTTTATAACATAAAACACGATTTCGTTTGTTCTAGGATGAACTTTCACCTATTTTTAAAGGAGAAATCACTCCAAAGATTTTACTAACTTTCTCTGATCGTGTGTGCCCGAGGACAATTGGATTTTGTAAAGAGCTGAGCAAGGTAAATTTTATTAATATTGTAACTTCTTTCCTTATGAATTTACTTCTTTGATGGTCATTGCAACGCCGAAGGAAAAAACGAGAAGCTTCATACTTAAGTATTGCACCTTCTGTTATTCGTAAAAGTACACCTTTTATCTCTAAGGTGTCCATATTCAGTCAACAGACCTGAATTCATGGTCTTTAGTGTATAAAGGGGTTACTGTAGACGAAGACTTCGAAAAGAACTCTAATCACCATTCTCTTGATTTATTCGCACGCAAACATGATGATAGTTTAGGCTGCTCTTAGTTGTGTAGATTTGAGTGTTGATGAATGGACAAAAAGTACCCATCAGAATTTGAAAGAAGAAAAACAAGTAAACCAAATCGGCAATTCTATTCACAAAGCTGTACGACTGCATATCTATACGTATTTTCTATGGGCATTCCTGGTGTGATAGATAGTTACAGTAGTTTATTGGACATAGTGTGAATAGTGAAGATAAATCAAAATGTAATGAAAGTTACATGAAAATGATTCAAATAAGGTTTTGCATAAAATAATAAGATATTAGATTTGGTTGGACAGAAGATAAGAATAGGAGTGGGAATACATAAGAAGTGGAAAGAATGAAAGAGAGTGTGATTTCAAAACAAACAAAACAAAAGCTGACTTCAAATTACGACTGTGAGCGAAAAAGGAGCCAAACAAACTTCATTTGTTTACATCCTTCAGGATTTTCCAAGGGAATGGCCAGAGCCTCAGAGATACAAAGCATGTGAAGAAGTATGGCCTTTGGAAGATTTCTTTTTACTGTATAAATAACTTTGAAAACGAACTCCCCTGAAATACAGTAACCAGTGTCGACAGTGTGTTCAATCATAGCACATCTGATATGTATACATCATCACCTCTTGCAATCATATTGGATAATGTTCCTGGAATCTGTTGGATAAACCAAACAACCCGCTTACTTTGCTACACAATAGTAAGTACACCGATACATGCACATAGTTTGTTTTTCGAATTTTTAATGAACAATGTGTAGCAGTTTCCGCCTACTTCTGTTCCTATGTTCTTTACGGCCACGTCTAATATCTCGTCATTTTACGCAATACCTTATTTGAATAATCTTCATGTAACTTTCATTACATTTCTATTGATCTTCACTATTCATAACAATATGATAGTGTAATTTTTTTTACTGTATCCAACATACCACTGTAACTGTCTATCATACCAGGAATGCTCATCGAAAATATGTATGTATTTGCAGTCGTAGTGCTTCGTGAGTAGGATCGCTAAAAAGTCTTTTCTTCGATTTACTTGTTCTCATTTTATGTTGATGAATGGACACGTTTCTCTTCAAAACTAATGTGTTATTCCGAAATTTTATGAATGTATATTTAGAGCTTGTGAATATGAATGTGCAACATTCACTTCCTGCTTCATATAAAATCATGCTCAGTATTGAAAAAAGAATACAAATTTAAAGTCACAAACGAACGTAGAACCTTGCACAGAAGTGTATCGCAAGTTCTCTATACTTCATTAAAAATAGAAAAGGTGAATCGAAGAGGTATATTGAGGTAGGAAAAGGTGTTTAAACAGCCTGCATTATATTCACTACCTGGAATGCAGTGTCAGCCTTGCATACCACGATCACTAAATGAACTTTACTGGTCGAAAGCATATCAGGAAGATTCTTTGAATAACGGCAAGACATAAAGCAGTTACCGTTATAGTGTATTTTCTTACTGTATATTGGAGGTTCAAGGGCGAAGTCATATTGCTGGCTGGCTGGCTGGCTGGCTGGCTGGCTGGGAGTGTAACAGCAGTAAGATGTCTTCCTTGGCTAATCAGCAGTGTCACACCGATGCTGCTAACCTTGTAGCACATTCTTCCCTACCCTGTGCTTCTCCAGTGCCGGTGGTATGGATTTATAACTCGATCAAAAAAAGCATTTTGAACTTATTCACCTGTGTGCAAGGTACTACGTTGATTTGTCTCTCTGTCAAAGAGGCCGTGAGTGACCAATCTCAAACAGATATCTTTTAGACTTTGCTGTCAGACAACAATATTACGCACCCGATCTTATGAGGTACTTCGAGGAAAAGTAACATTCCACAGCATCGGCAGTTGGAAAGTGTCAACCACACTCAATACTGTCAGCACTCAAGTTCCCCCAAATCACTGTCCACCTATATCCATAACTTCTAATCTTCCTTCATATCCTCAAGTCAACACTCCTACACCATCTTTCACTCCTTCCATCTCTACATCTGTTGACAACGATCTGAGTTCACGGAATCCTATCATGGGTCTCCACACTTCAAACTACACAGGGGAACTTCTGATCTGCGAACCCTCCATCAAATATTAGTTATCTACGTAATCCCATGCCAGCGAATCGGCAACGGTGGTCGTCTGTTCCGACTTTGTCCTGACGGTCACTTGTTTCTGATCAGAACTAAATTCAAATATAAAGAAAGCCACCTTCTCTATTAGCGTCAGCTGGATCCAAACCAACGATGGACACAGATAGATCATATTGCTATAAGCCATCCTCAGAGATGATCGCTGGGAAATTGTCGCTCTTTGTGGAGTATCTGTTTGAACTCCGATCACACGCTTGTACAATGTGGTGTATGTTTGCGCCCTACTGGTGACAGGAAACACGCGACAACATAGCCTACCTATTCTTCATTGGAAGACTCCAAGTACGTATTTGGGGAGAAGTTAGCTAAGCATTTAAATGAATATGACAGCAATGCTCATTCTGAGGAAACCTGATGGGATGTTAATTCTGCTGTAGAAACACCGATAAAGACAGTTGGTAACCTACACCTGAAAGTTAGCAAACGTCATTGGTTTTCTGCAACGCCATCCGAACTGATTGATTCGAGAAGACTAATTCCAGCTAGCTGTGAACACGACGAAGAGCGAAAGCAACTGAAACGTAAGTTATCTAAGAGCCTTCGCATCGACTTCAAGCAGAGATACGTGGCGAAAGCGACAGAGAGATGGGGAATGCAGCAGCACTAGTTAAAATTCGGCAGTTATTTAGTTTATTAAGGATACTGGCAAGAAGAAGACGGTGGTTATTGAAATCATCAGAGATAAGGATGGGATACTCACAGAACAGGCGGCTAGAATGTTGGACAGGACACTTTAAAGCTCAATCCAACTGACCCACAGCCACACCTCAGTTGCCCAACATCCAGCCTGCCTGATCCTGAATGCGACACACATAACGCTCCTCCAACTCTCCTTGAAGTTCACAAGGCTGTATGGAACGTGAAACGATGGAAAGTAGCAGAAACTGACGGTTTGCCACCCGAAAATTTTATGGATGGTGGTAGGGAATTACAGGTTATGAAAACGGAGGTACTGGATAGTGTATGGGAATCAGAGGTAGTTCTGTCAGACTGGTCTACTTCTCAGATCAGCTCTCTATATGAGAAGGAATAGAAGTGTTCCTGTGACAACCAACCATAGGGGAACTAGTTTGGATTAATGTTGTATCCAAGATCGTTGGGTCGGTAGTTATCTGACGCCTAGCTGGATCACGAGGACACCAAACTCGAGGAAACCAGTCAGGTTTGAGACAGAGCTGGGTGAGGATGCTTCTATCATATTTTTACCCTCCGACAGGTTGTGGAACACAGGCATACCTATCGACCAGTGGCCAACATTGACCTGAATGCGGCATTTGACTCTGTCGACCGTGAGTTGTTGTGGCAGTGTTTGACTGTGTAGGGGAGTACAGAGGAAGTACACAACGCTAATCGAAGCTCTCTACTCGAACTTGTGCAGCCATGTAAGGGGTTATGGAGAGTAGTCATGTGAGTTGACGGGAACTATTGGTGTCAGTCAGGGATGCCCATTGTCAACGTTCCTATTTAACTTCGTCATAGATATACTGATGGAGGTGAACTTAGGTAGCTGTGGCTTCACAGAGATTGATCTACTCGCTAACTGGAGGTCACCTGGTTGATTTGGAGTATGCGGACGATATTTTCCTGCTGGGTGAAAACACTGACAAAATGCAGAGTCTTCTGAATGTGTTGAGCAGGAATCTGAGTATGTTTTGCATGTGTCAGTCTATGTTTGAGTTTCTTTCGCTGTTCATTTTGTTCAGGGACAGCTGTAATAAGTCTTCCTACATCAATCAGTTCGGATGACGTGTCTATTCGGGACAGCATACATCCATGGCTAGAGATTCCAGAGTTCTGGCGAGCAATGCTTGCTGTTTGGTTCGGTATATGGTTCAGACGTTGAAAGCTCTTACGCGAAATTAATGGCGGGGAGATTATGAATGTTGGGACCAGTCAAAGTCTCTGACTTGATCTGAGGTGTGTGAAGATATGCAGACTACCTGATTTGGGTCCTCGGACGATACAAATCAGTGGCTAGGAGCTCTTAGTAATATGGCTGAAAATCGGTCATAGTGGCGATGCATTCGATCTTCGACGTCTTCTGAGGCTTGGATATTTGCACTAACCTTTATCTTCAAATTGTCTAGTGTCTCGCACAACTTCGTCTACTTTGGTATCACTCTTTTTTCTATCCACCTGTTCTTTGTATACTACTTTGAAGTATGGCAAGTTGAACGGATGTGTTTGAGATTTTAATTTGATTTCATCTGTCTGTCTGCAAGTAGTTCTCAACCACTAAGTCCATTTTCGAGGGAGAATGCATGGAGATGTGGATTGCCCCCTGTAAACTTTGTGAAAACCAACACATGATAGCTTAGTGATCGCATTTCCTATTGTAGACTATTTGGGTTAGTGAAATAGCTTACGTTGTACAGCATTTGAAGGGATAAGGCCATCAATATGTGATTTTGTTTCTCATAAATCTTCCTGTTTTATCATGCGGCCTTCAATTTTTGTACTCTTCAACGGTTTGTTAAGATTTTCGATTGACTAGGTGAACTTGACATGTTTATAAGTCAATCGTGAATTTCGAATTCATAGTCAGTTCGTAAAAAATATGCATTTCCATAAAAAAAGTTTACTGTATCACAAGTATTTTACCTCTCTACATCCCACACTTTTGGCAGAGGTTTGTGTTTCTCGATTTCGTACCTTCGCCCATTTATCCGAGTTGAATATTAAGATCAATGTTTAGTAACAAGTTAGTAACAATCTGCTCTCCACAGCTAATTAAAGTAACTTTTAATGAGTTTTTTTGGCTGGATCTGGACAGGATTCAATATACGACTATACTGCATTTTAGTATGCTTTACCCTATTATACGTCTATTTGAGATAGCCTTTGAAAGTAGGAGATATGAGTTTGCAGATTTCTGAACAAAGGTGGCTTCACAGCAATCCTTGTGTGTGGTGGAACCACCATGTTAGTAGTGATTTCGAGTTTAGGTAAAGGGTGATGTGCAAGAAAGGCAAACTGGTGAATAAGGTTGTTAGGCTTCATTAACTGAAGTGGCTTGGACATGTTTTTCACTTGGTGAGATAGTATCTACCTGTTCGTGCGATGTTAGCCAAAGATTGGGTTAGAGAAAGACTAAGTGTTTTTGAACGAAAACTTGACACTAGTCTATAAAGTCTTTGGTTATAGACTTTCCGTCTTGTTTTCTCGAGGTAATAATTAAAAGCTGGAGACGTTTAGGGAGTTGACTGAAAAGCGATCACAATGTCGTAGATGTATTCACTCACTTATATCTTCGAAAGTTTGGAAATTTTCATTAACCTTCATTCATTTATTCTCTCTCACATACACTTCAGTTTACCTTAATTTCTCCCACTTTCCATCCACTTGTTCTTTGCATGTTGTTGTAAAGTGTGGTAACTTGAACCGATGTTGTCCTGTGCCAGGTTCTACATTGATTTGTCTCTCTTAGTGTAAAGGGATAATGATCAAAAGCTTAAGAAAAATTCCATCCACTACAGTAATTTAACCAGATTTGATTTTAGTTAAATATTATCGCTCCATACTTAGCTGTCTACTTAATAAAAGTTACATGTGATAGTCGTATCAAAAAATAACAACTTTTACAATACTTCAGAAATTCAGACACAAAGTACAGTACGTCATATTTGCACATCATTTGACATTTCTTAATTTACGTAATTCGGTTTAAAATGAGGGTCAAAGGCAGCATCAGAGTTCTCATCGAGGGACAAATTACTTTCTTCAGTAAAATCTTGAGAAGTTCCATTTCAATTGATTTTATTAGATGTTATCACACAGCGAAAAACTTTTTGTTTACTGGATTGTGTTTTGGACACAAGTTACTATCCATAGTCATATCAAGATGATCCCACAACTTTGCGAAATACTTTGTATAGTTCTAATTCCCTCGCCTTCTTTGTGATATGACAAGTGGTAGGATTTACCATATATCTGAACCGTTACGCAATAACACCTGTTTTTGTTTGATCGTGTCCTTCTGTCTCTACATATATCTAGAACAGATGCTGAATCATTCCTGTTGCATTCATTTTGGTGTTGATTGGATGGACTAAGATTTGTTCTCCGCATGTGTTTAACTGACTATGGACAATAAATGGTGTTTGACACATAATCCAGTCAATAATACTGTTTTACTATGTGATACATCAACTAAAATAAAATTAGATTTAACCATAGTGCTCAAGTTTTACTCTTATATAAATCGTAAGAAAGTTTAGTTTAAATGGGAGAAAATGAATTCAGTGTACTTTACTGAATTTTGATGGATAACTCTGTCATATCGTTTTAGTTAGGAAGCATCAAATTCTGATTTACTGCGTGTATATAATTGCAATTTACTGTGCTATTTATTACTGTACAATCTCACATGAGTTTTCGTGATCTTCAGGTTATTCCAAATGTTCATCTTACTGCACGTTGGCATCTACCTCTGAAAAAAATTATACCTTTAGCCATTGAACGTGGATTTACGTGTTTATTAATTGTAAATGAAGATCATAAAAAAGTCAATACCCTAATTGTCAGTCATCTGCCTAATGGACCAACGGCTACTTTTCGTTTAACTAATGTACTACTTCGTCGAGAAATGCGTTCTAAGAAGAAAAATAAATACATTGAGTCGAATGTTATACCTCATCTTATTACTACACGTTTTATGACACGTCTTGGTCTTCGTACTGACGTATTCTCAGCGGTTTGTTTCCCAGTGTTAGTCGTCAAACACCAGAACCACATAGTAGAACAATTGTTTTTCACAATCAAAGAGATTATATATTTTTTCGTCATTATCGTTATATACATCAGAATACTGGCGTTAATGAAGCTAAAATGGTGAAAATGAACATATTGCAATGAATGAAGTTGGACCAAAGTTCACACTTAAATTACGTTCAATTCAGTTGGGTACTTTTGATAGTCAATTTGGAAATTATGAATGGGTTCGTAAGCGAACTGAAGTTGGTAAAAGTCGAAGAACATTTGTTTTGTAATTGGTATTTAGTATGTCTGTTGTAAATGTAATTGCAGTTTGTGAATAGCCTTCGTCTTGTACAAAAATATATTTTCAGACAAATTTACCTCGCAGTGGTTGTCATTGTTAAGAAGCTAGTAAACGGGACAATATATATGTTCATTGTTCTCAAGTTTCCAATGTTTCTTCAGCTGTGGATCAATGACTTAAGCAGTAAACTTCCATTCAATGCATCTCGAGTTCAAACTCTACTCCATGTGCTCTGTACCACACTGCGTTACGTAATGCAGTTACGTAATAGGGTCGAAATATGCTGGTTGTTGTTATTATTATGGAGAGAAGCAGCACAGAATAAGTATGAGATTATTCGGATGCGACTTTTTAAGTTCTACCTTTAAAATAACACGAATATTCAACCACTATTCTCGGAATTTAAGTGACGTGTTATAAACTCAGTTTTGGTAATTATGTAGATTAATAAAAAAGGATCTGCGATTAAACTGTAAGGTGCACTGCATATAAGAAAGTACAACAGCATTAAATTTAGATTGTATTACAGATACTTAAATGTTCAACTCCAGTATATGTGAAAAGTCCTACCAAACTTTCATCTCAGCGTAACTCAACTGTCTTATTTTAGTTAATGACATTAAAACAACATAGTTTGAAATACTATGCTGAGAGTCCTGCTAAGTAGCAGTAAGACAAAAAACAGTTACAATAATAATGTTAATCCTTACTCTATGATGGCCTTCCGAGGTGAAGTCGAACTGCTGGGTAGACCGAACTAAGTTATTTCAGTAGGATTACTAGCAGCATCATGATGGTTCTGCCTGCCCTATGGGAAAAAGGAGATAAAAGAGGTCGGCCCCAAAATAGCATGCCTCAGTCTACCCAGCGCCATGTCGTTCCCGACGATTTAGGTTCACAGTTGGCTTCGAAACTAACAAACCAGAATCTCAAGCTTCCAAGAATGCCGTGAGTGACAGGCCTCAAACACATGATCCTTGGATTCTACAGGGGCGCACTAACCCATCTCCTTCAAGTACTTCAAGAAGAAATAACCTTCCACAGCGAGGGTAGTCGGAAAGTGTCATCCACACTCACAACTCTGTGACCACTCAAGTTCCCCGGAACTACTGTCCATATTCCACATCCTCAACTTCCAATCTTCCCTCACATTCCTCAGTCAACACTCCTGCACCACGTTTAATTCCTTCCAGATCTGCAGCCCTTGACATACATCTGAGTTCACGGAACAGCACTACGGCTTTCCTTAAACCACACTTCAAATTACACACAGGAGCTTTCAATGTCCACACCCGCCGTCGAATAGGCTAACTAGCTTCGCTTATTACAACTCAGGCCATGAACATGTGCTGTTTACAAAACACACATACAGGGCTGAAGTGTGGTTATTCACTTAGCCTCCTCTGTCAATATAGGGAGTCTACAAAATTTACCCTACGAGTAACTCAAAAATTGACGACTAGATTTCTTGGTTTTCCAGATGTAGGCATAACATACGCCGTTGAGGCAAAGTGCACTGCCCGACTGGATCCCAGTTGATATTCACTGTTCGACTGAACGGCACAGTGGGGACCAGAAAAAGGAGTGAAGCTTACCGCCATTTCTCCGCACCCACTGACTGCAGTTGAAGTGGAGGATCACTTTTGCAGAAAGCTATCTATCCTCTTACTGAAAGCCTGACGGTGAGATTTGGTTGTTGTAGCAGGTGATTTCAGTGTACAAGTCAGGCAGAAAATACCTTACGTGACACTCGGCAGCATAGCCAAATGAACAGATAATGGCAATTGTCTACTTCAGCTGTGCTCAGCAAAGCACCTATTTCTAACCAGCAGGAACTTCAGATACGAGGAGCGATACTGTCTGACGTGGTGTCCACCGACAAGGACTCAACGTAGCAGATAGATCATATTGCTATTAGTTATCGATAGAGAGGGTGGGTGTGAGAGTGACGTTTCTGCTGGATCACATGCTTGGACAGCGATCACGCGCTGTTTCCAGCCATTGTGTTTGGGCCTAAATAGATGTGGGAAGACTATAGCAGCAAGATGATTGTGAAACCCGACAATGAGACCACTAAGGCTGTTTTCAGGCAGAAACTACATAAACAGCTGTTAGAACAGTACAATATCATTCATCCATAAAAAGCCTAGCACCGTCTTCAGTTTGCTGTGAAAACAGTGCTGAAGACCGTAGCTGACTCTTTGAAAGTGTTTAGAAATGGCCAGTGGATCTCAGCAGTTTCTGAATTAATGGAAGCACATGAATGAATTCCTGCAGGCTTCTCAGGACAGTGAGGCTAAGAACCAACTGAAATGCAGACTGACAAAAAGAAAGTAATGACTGCGAACAGTGATAGGCAGAGAAGGCTAAAGAGATGGGAAGCCAGTGGCGATAAGCAATAGGAGACAGCTACTTATACTTATCTAGGCATTGGAGCGGGAACGTCAATGCTTAATGAGACTATAATGGGAAGATTGGGTTCACGATTAACTTGTGGCAGAGATGACTGGAATGATATGTGAAACACTTCAACAAGTTTCTGGCTGCTATTCCATTACCTGCTAACCAGTTCAATTGTTGATGCGAAATTGATACAGGCCCTCCATTTCTTGTAGAAGTTAAGAAGAGTGTGAGCGAGGAACGAACGGATTAGAACCGGAGTTATTCTATGATCGTGGTCGACGATTGTTGGTAAGGTTAACTGAAGTGTTAGCCGTTGTAAGAGTCAGCTATAATCCCCCTGACTGATCTCAACCAATCATTGTACAAGTCTTTAAGAAAGGTGAAAAATCGTACTCTGACTACCACATGGGAATAAGTATGACAAGCGTAGTATCTAAGACTCAAGGCTGTATGATCATTAGTTATCTGAGTGCAGCTCGATGACAGGAAAACCAGGCAGGTTTCATAAATGGCCGTGGGCGCATCGACCAGATATATACTGCATACACCACATCCTGAAACACACTCATGCTCACCAATAGCTGAGATTAGCTCCTTAATGAACTGTAGACGACATTCCACCCCGTCGACCGACAGGTCTTATGGCAGTGTCTCACTGGAAGGGTTACCTAGTGACTACTCTGTAAAAGGATTCGTAATGAAATACTTATCAGATTATTAGAGATCATAGCGATTTATAAGATGAGTTGAGTACCTCCAGCAGTGTTATTCAGAGACAAACAAACTGTGAATTCTTATATCTCTTGATCATAGATGTGCTTAAAGAGATCTCCCTCTCGTCATGTGAATTGACAAGAGTTGATCGTGTCCGAGTGAAATCCTTAGTAGAATAAATGGTATGCAGATGACATAGTCTCGCTAGGTGAAGACAGCGACGATGAGCAGAAGAGGATCGATTGACTTTCACCAACTTATGTGATTCATCGCTCTGCGTGTTTGAGGTTGAGTATACAGTGCACCAATTTGCTTCGTTTTATTCTGTGCTTGTAAAGCATGGTTATTCAAGGTAGAAGATATGAGAAGGCTTCAGGTGTTCGATCACCGTTGACTTCGCACCATAGGTCATGTGTCCTGGTGTCACCACATGCGTAAGGTAGAAGTCAGGTTTAGAGTGTTAGGGAGGATAGGAGAGACAATCGATGAGGTTTTGAACCCTAATCGGATCAGGTGGCTGGGACCTGTGTTACTCATAACTATTCACTATCTGTCTAGTCGCGAAGTGTCAGCTGGGGTATGTTTAGGCTGGAAAAATACTTAGAGCAAACGAACTGCAACTTGGCATCAGAGTATGGAGACTTTAGTTGTTGTTAGACAATACAGACTTCTCCGTTGGGGGCCACGGGGTAACGGAATCTAGTGGTTAGAGACTCCAAGCGATGTCTCATCAGGTAGGATATTAGAAAGCTATGCGCTGTCACACTGTAAGACAATAATCACAAACTCATGGTTAAATAGTTGTTTTTTCTTCTGACAACAAAACGATACCATCCAACCCAGTCGATAGCTGGTACCATGACATGGTGCTTGGACTTGCACATCACAATGATCCAACAAGCTACATTGGCTGAAAAGTTTATTCCCTCGAGGTCCCACCATGTCAGAAAGGACTGTTGGATAGTGGTAAGACGAATACCAGTTACCGTTGTAGTGTGAATTACTACACCACTGTGAGGGTCTGAAGGTGAAGTTGTACTGCTCTACCTGGGTGGGGTGTGACAGCAGTAAGGTGTTTCCTTTGATTAACCCCCAGTGCCGCGCTGATTAGGCCCTCACAATGGGAAGGAGGGGGTTAGAAAAGATCGGCCCCGAAAATAGTACACACTTTCCTGCCCCACGGTTTTCTTGTGCCGGTGGTATGGGTTCTGTCTATCTGGCGTTTGAACAACCAAATCCCGAAACAACAGCCCCCAAACGGCTATGGCAGGCCGCAGGCGGACGTGCAATCGCACAAACTCTAGAAGAAATAGCCTACCATTATGTGGGCAGCTGGGAAGCGTCAACCGCTCGCACGCTTCCAGTAGTACACAAGACCTAATCAAACATAACCTATCCTCCCCAACTTTATCTCCTCCTTTACCGTCACCTCATGATACTAATACTAAGCCTCTCACACTTACCTCAACCTCTCATTCTGTAACCACTGTGAAGGCTCAGAGCCATCGATAGCACATTCCTGGTCTCCTAAGACCGTGCCATCGATTTCGTGTGGAAGCTTTCAACGTCCGAAGTCTATGCCTAATCGGACAGCAATCATCGCTCGCCAGAACTCTGGGATCTCTAGTCATGGATGTATACTGTGTCTCTGATACACGTATACGGGACCCGAGTGTGCCTATTGAATTGACCTCACCTGGCCATACCAATGAGTCTTCAAGATTCACCTTACGGGTATCTGGAGACCCAGTGGCTAGTTGTCGTGGGCTCCCTGGTGTAGAGTTGGCAATGAGCTTCAGGACAGAAAGTGCACTTCTAGACTGGATGCCAGTGAACGGCCGTCTGTGTTGTTCGACTGAATGGATCTGTAAGAACTAGTAAGGATAGTGAAACTTGGTAATGTTCATTCGTAATCTCCGCCTACGCGACGTGCTCTCAGACTGCATTTAGTATGGTGCAAAGGATGAATTGTATGAAAACCTGTCAACTTTGCTTCAGAAAGCAAAGCGTTCAGATGTAGTC